CCTTTGTTTTCTTTACCTTAAGTCTCCCCTTTCATGGGATCTTTCCCATCAGAATTTAATTATGATTAATGCCACCCCTCTTAAAGAGAAAAGAAAATTAGTCTGTCCTCATTTCTTCTCCTGTCTGCCACTGGCCTGTCTCTTCTCCCTGTTCAAAAGGCCAGTTTTGTCTGGGTTTGATGTCTCCATTTCTTCAGCTCCCAGCCACTTTCTAATCTTCATAATGTGTTTTCACTCCTACTGCTACCCCTTACCTCCCTGCTGCCAGGTCGAATGGACATGTTTCCGTCTTCATCCTAATCAACCTTGGTGATTGTGTGTTACAAACCATCTATTACAAAGCCAATAGATCTGTTTTGTAAGAAGTGCAGCCAGAGTGCTCCTTGGAGGCCAAGATGGCTAAGTTTCATCTCTCATACTTTGGACATATTGTCCGGAGGGAACAGTTGCTGCTGGAGAAGGATTTGGCCAGGTGGCATCATTGATGGACTCAAGTGTGGCAGCGGTAGTGAGGTTGGCCCAGGATCGGACATTGTTTCGTTCTGCTGTGCATGGGGTCGCTATGAGTCTGTTCTGACGCGATGGCACCTGACAACAACAACAAAGCTAAATGAGATTTCCTAGGGGAAAATATGTATGGCGAACACTAAAGTTCCAAGGTTGGAAGGAGAAGAATAAAACATCAAAGGAGGCTGGAAGGAAAAGACAACAGCATTTAAAGCTGGTGGTAACGTAGTGGATTACGAGCTGAGCTGCTAACTGAAAAGTCAGAAGTTCGAATCTACCAGTTGCTCCATGGGAAAATGATGAGGCTTTCTGCTCCTATAAAGATTTACAGTCTCGTAAACCCTAACTCACTAAGTACACTTAATTGTACTTATGAGAAATCTGTACCTAGACCAAGAAGCAGTTGTTCGAACAATGCATGGGAACACTGAATGTTTCAAAATTGGGTTCTATGAAGAAAAACATGGCGTCAGGATTGGAGGAAGACTCATTAACAACCTGCAATATGCCGATGATACAACCTTGCTTGCTGAAAGTGAGGAGGACTTGAAACATTTACTTATGAAGATCAAAGAGCACAGCCTTCGATATGGATTGCATCTCAATGTAAAGAAAACAAAAATCCTCACCACTGGACCAATAAACAACATTCTTATCAATGGAGAAAAGATTGAAGTTGTCAAGGATTTCATTCTTCTTGGATCAACTATCAACACTCGCGGAAGCAGCAGTTAGTTAAGAGATCAGATGATGTATTACATTGGGCAAATCTGCTGCACGGGAACTTTTTAAAGTACTGAAGAGCAGCGATGTCAGCTTGAGGACTAAGGTGCGCCTGATCCAAGCCATGGTATTTTCAGTAACCTCATATGCATGTGAAAGCTGGACAGTGAATAAGGAATACCATAGAAGAATTGATGCTTTTGAGTTATGGTGTTGGAGGAGAATATTGAAAGTGCTGCCTTAAGAACCAATGGATAGATCTGTTTTGGAAGAAGTGCAGCCAGAGTGCTCCTTAGAGGCCAGGATGGCCAAACTTCATCTCTCATACTTTGGACATATTGTCAGGAGGGACCAGTCACTGGAAAAGGATATCGTGTTTGATAAGGTGAAGAGTTAGAGAAAAAGAAGAAGATTCCCCCATAAGATGGATTGGCAAAATGGCAGCACCGATGGGCTCAAGCGTGGCAACAATTGTGAGGTTGGCCCAGGACTGGGCAGTGTTTCGTTCTGTTGTGCATAGTGTTGCTATGAGTCGGTACCCAACTCAGTGGCACCTAACAACAACTTCTTTGTTTAAGGAGCCCTGGTAGTGTAGTGGATTACAAGCTGGGCTGCTAGCCATAAGGTCAGCAGTTCGAATCTACCAGTGGATCCACGGGAGAAAGATGAGGCTTTTTGCTCCCATAAAGATTCATAGCCTCAGAAACCCTGTACAAGTAAGGTCACTATGAATCAGAACTGATTCGGTGGCATACCACCACTACTGCCACCACTTCTTTCCTCAGTTGCCAAATCCAGTCACCAACCATGTGCAATTGATTTGATACACTGAGCACTTCTTGACTCTGCCCACTTCTTTTCATCTCTGCTGCTTGAAAAAAGCAGCTCATCTTTTTTCACCTACATTACTGTAATCTCTCCTTTGTCCCCCTCCTGCCCGTTTTCTTCCTGTAGCTATCTTGGACTAACCTTTTTACACATTTAATCATGTCATTCCCCTGCTCTCAAAGCCTTTCAGTGATTTTCTACTGCTTTGGCGAAGCTGTACATACACTTCAGTCCTTTCCATTGAGTTTGAGCCGATGTGATCTGGTTCTTGCTTTCCTCACTGTTTTCATTGTATGTCTCTTTACCCTTTACTGTGCAATACAGCCCTGCCAGGTCCTGAACAGCATGAAGGGAGGGTGGAAGCCTCCACTTTCATATCTACAGAAGAAGTTAGGTTAGATGGTTCAAAGAACCCTCATCCTCTGATGGTGAAAATAGATTTGGGTGTGTCTGGGCAAACACACAGAGCTTCCTAGTAAGGCAGCCCTAAAGGAAATACAACAGAGTATATAATCAAAGAAAAAGAAAGGCATTCTACTGTTGGCATCATCTTTTTTTTTTTTTTTCTTATTGTGAATTAAGTGAAGGTTAACAGATAAGATCATCAGCTTTACTTTCAATAGATTATTGACATCATCTATGATGCTATGCCTGTATCTTAAAAAAGAGAATCTAGAATCATTGAGATAACATATGCCAAATGGGTGGATAGAACTAGATAAACTGAAGTGTGGGGAAGAATAGGAAACAGGGTGTTAGGAGAAGAGTACAGTTCTGACATGCAGCATCCCAGAGTAAAGGATGCTTGTGGGCTGTCAGACTGCAGTTATGGATAGGAAGTCTGCAGCACCTGTAGGAGCAGCTGACACTGCAATATGTAAGAAGGAACTAGGAACTCAGCACATTGCAAGAACAAAGTTAGAGACCATAGCACAAGGGGTCTGGGCTCTCACTTGGTTTTCTAACATCATTTTCACCTGAAATATTTATATGATTCCAGAGAATAAGACCCCAAAAGACAGATTGGATTTCTCATTCAGGAAGAAGCTGGGAATAACTTAATTTGAAAAAGTAAAGGAAAAATGTTTTGTCTGCTGTTTTAAAAGAACACATAAAGCAGACAGTTTTAAGAGAAGAAAAAAATACAAATTCCTGTAGAGATTCAGTCATACTGTTGCATGATATGATAACAAGAAAGAGTGCCTGAAATACAATCATCGAATTTGGTGGGACTGCTGAACAAAATCACTGCCCTGGAACAGGGTTCAGCACTGCTCATAGGCCACATCCAGCCCACCATCTGTTTGCTTTTTTAAAATTATACCAGGGGCTTCAAAAAGTTTGTAGACAAATAGAATCTTGTGCTTTCTGAATGTATATGATAAAAATATACATAATAAAACATTTGCAACTTTAACAATTTTTACTGTACAATTTGGTGGCATTGATAGCTGCTTTTGTAAGTTAAATGTAACTGGAGCATAGCCTCTTTCATTTGGTCTCTGTTATAAGTACTTCCTAGCTGGCTCAATCAGTTAAGCATTCATTTATTTACAAAAAGACTGCTGGTTCTAACCCACTTGCACCTCATAACAATTTTTCCAAACTCTGTGGGGCAGCTCTCTAGATACATGGAGTCACTGTAATGCAGAATAAACTAGACAGCAACTGGTTTTTACCAATCGCTAGGTAGGGTGCATATATGTAATGCATAATAAAACATTCCTATAGCAGGAGTTTTGGGAATAGCAAGCAAATCTGCCCTTACAGGGAACTGCCTGACAAGTCATTCCAGCATGGAAAGGTAGGTAGTTGATTATACAGACTTTACAGGCAAACCTCAGAGATATTGCCAGTTCCCTTTCAGACCACTGCAGTAAAGCGAGTCACATGAATTTTTTGGTTTTGCAGTTGCTATTAGTGTCATCGAGTCAGTTCTGATCATGTTGTTGTTAAGTGCTGTTGAGTCGATTCCACTCATAGCGACCCTGTATAGGGTTTCCAAGGAGCAGCTGGTGAGCTTGAACCCATGGACCTTGTAATTCAAATGGCTTTACAGTCCGACACATTAGTCCACAGAACCACACCAGGACTCCAGTACCAACCCTGTAAATCTTTGCTGGAGCAGAAAGCCTCATCTTTCTCCCATGCAGTAACACTTAGGCTTGAACCACAAACCTTGTGGTTCACATTCCAGTGCTTATCATACAGAACCAAAAAGACAGAAATATTCTAAGAATTGCCAGAATGTGACACAGAGGTACAAAGTGAATTTATGCTGTTGGAAAAAATGTCCAATGTGAGCATGTGCTATTACTTGATGTGGGGTTGTCACAAACCTTCAAAACGCAATGTCTGCAAAGCGCAACAAAGCAAAGTATGCCTATATATGCTGTGTAAGACTATGACAACAAAATACAATCCGTTTGTTAATGATAAAAGGTTAGGAAATAATTTTAAAATCAGAGTTATGTTCACTAACATAAGGTTTTGTTTCGTCTCGTTGAAGAGTAAAGCATAATAAATAAGTGCCTGGTCCAAGCTACATCAAATAGTATGTTAAATTCTCAATGCTATTGTTAAGTGCCATTGAGTCAGTTAAAACTCAGTGACCCTGTATAGGGTTTCCAAGGCTATAAATCTTTACAGAAGCAGAAAGCCTCATCTTTCTCCCAAGGAGCAGCTGGTGTGTTTGAACTGCCAACCTTGTGGTTACCATTGCATAATTCTACAGAGCCACCAACGCTTTCTTTTGTGTGTATACTTCATACAGGGATTTCATCGTAAGTGGTAAAGGTGAAAAAAAATTACCATTTTTTTTGTCCTGGGCAAATCCATTATATTATTAAATGAAGTTATCATTCATGGTATATAATTCCATCAGATTTGGTCTCTTGTCAGTAAGATCATTTTTTGTTAACTCACTGTTCTCCATATTTCAGAAGCGGCGACGGCGGATTGATCGAAGTATGATCGGAGAACCAACAAACTTTGTGCACACAGCTCATGTAGGATCAGGAGATCTGTTCAGTGGAATGAACTCGGTAAGTATGTGGGTGAGAAACACAAAGTAGGTCCTGGGGCATATTCACATACTGTGAGACTGGCATATACGTTTTTAATGATCACACTGCTAAGTAAACGTAAAGACATCAAGTATGAACACATAATGTGAATACTGAAGAGATAAGTGACTGGTGAGAAATTAATCTTGTCTAAAATAGTCATTTGCCACCTTATGTATATGTTTCTATTTCTTACACTTAATGCTTTTCATAAGGAGCTCTGGTAGCATAGTGGTTACAAATCAGGCTGCGAACCACAAGGTCAGCAGTTTGAAACTAACAGCCGCTCCGTGGTAGAAAGATGAGGCTTTCTGCTCCCATAAAGATTTACAGCCTCGGAAACCCTGTACAGGGTCGCTATGGGTCGGAACCGACTCCACAGCATTTAACAACAACAACAACAATGCTTTTCATAGCTCCCTCTCCCCTGAATAAATAAAATATCTGTGTTCAGATTTGTGGTTAAGGTCCCTGAATTCTCCAGGTTCTATGCAGAAGGTATGGAGATCATCCTTGTAAAACTGTAATTATATTTTATTCTTTTTTGTTCAGTTTGTTAACTTTTTGTGCACATTATTTTTTATTAATTTATAAATGATTAGCCTTTACCTGGTGGTAGTAGAATGCTTGTAATGTATTTATTACTATAGCATAAGTGCTAGTGCACTACGCTGAGGATATGAATTTTCATATCTCCCTTCAGGACAAGGTAGCCAGAATTGGGTAAGAAGGATAGGCTAGTAAGAACCAAAAATAAGGAAGGTAGGTTTATGTGTTGTCTTTTAGAATGAGGTTGCAGTGAATTTCAGAATTGAGTTATGATTTGCTCA